ATATATATATATATATATATATATATATATATATATTTTTTTTTTACAATAATAGACTGAAATGTTTCATCTTTTTAAAAAAAATTCTGTGTTGTCTGTTTGAATTTTTCTGGATTTAGAATTTAACACGAATTTATTATCAAAAATGGTGGTAACCAAATGAAGGCATAAAATATTAACAATGGAATTGAACTTATAAAATAGAATTAAATTAAACAATTGCTCTTATTTTTATAGCAAACAGTGCATTGCTAAAATGAAAACATGGAAGAAAATTTTTTATTTCTTAAAAAAAATTAAAGTAAAAAAAATGTAAAAGTAAATTTTAATTATTAATACTATTTTTGAGAAATTAATTCTACTGTACAATAGTAATAAAGTACCCGTGTCAAAATTTCTAATTAAACCAAACTATTTAATGTGTTGTTGTGAAGACCTTTGAGTTTCTTTGTGTACCTGATAATAGTTGTATCAAATCAAATGGTGAAAAGCTCATGAAGCGACTCTCAGAGCAGCTCTGGAGATGAAGTTTGTTTCATGTCCTCATATAGTGAGAAGGCAGACACTAAACCATGAGCGTCACACGTGCTTGAGTAGTGCATAGTAGTAGACACAACTGCACCATTAATTCACACAAACATGCAGACTTTATATTTAAATAGGAAAACAACTTTTACTTGAAATGAAACATTTACTATCAGAGTTTTATTATTATTATTACTCTAGAACGGTTTCTCCAAAACATTTTTTTCCTGATATCAAGAGAACTGAAGATATGGGTTTAAAACCCTTGAATTAGGACAATGCTTCACTGACAGGTGATATTACATGTACTTGTGGTAATGCTTTACCATGAAAAATGCAGAGTGAGACATTTACAGTTTGCAAGATATCGTCAGATGAGGAAAAGACATAGTTTTGGCCCATGTGCAGGTGGTTAACACATACCAGCAGCTGACGGGAGACTGACAGAGGCAGCAGGTGAAGAGAAGTCGGCAAAGTCACCAATCAGATCTGAGTTTCCACCTGCAAAACATTAATATGAGACATATATAGTCTTTATAATGCAACTATACATAGCTTACAATACAAGTTAAAAAATCTGGGGTAGGTAAGGTTTTTAAAGGATCAATTTTTCACCCTTGCTGAAAAGAAAATTCACAACAGAAAAACAAAAATCTCTGTTTTATATCCAAAATTATAATCTCTCTGACGACAACAGAGTAGGACCAACTGATCTGGATGTGTAACTAAAATTCAGATACACAGACAAACACACGTGTCCATCCACATACACACAATTAGGCTGTCAGAACTTGGGTGCAACAGCTCTGGACCTCCTGACTGATGCGAGCGGACACAGCACAGCTGTTGGGCTGCTGACAGGATACGGAGGGACAGCAGCATCTGTGCACCCATCTCCTATTCGTTCTTTCTCTCTCTCGCACACAACTCACCCATCTGGGGCACTTAGCTGTCTCTAAAGAACTTCCTTGAGTATGGCTTTAAAAGCTACATCAACTTTCAGGAAAAAGTTTCTGTCTGAGTCCCTGCATCCCGGACGAGCCCCCAAATTCTGTTACGTTCCCAGTTAGTCTAGGGTTAGACGAACAGGTAACAGAATAAAAAGGAGATGTGTGGAGGCAGCAAGGTTCAATTCCCAACCCCAGAGCTTTAACAAAGGCCAAGAATCATCTCAATATCAAAACAAGTTATTTTATTTTACAGATATGGGAGGATGTCAAAACTTCAAGAGGGGGCAAGGCCAAAATAACAAAACACAAACCCTCTAAATATTTGGGGGAAACTAACTAAGCTAGAACAAAGAAAAGAACACAAAAATACAATAGAAAAACTACCTCCCTAACTAGCATAAACAGGAGAAAAACAAGATAAAGAAAATGGCACCCACCTCTCTACTAACACATTCCCAATACATTAACAATATAAGCTTAATAGGTAACAAACAATAACATAAGTAGGGACAAACAAATAATAACTTCCAAAACAAACCAGATTTCTTGTCGTAGGCATCAATTACCACAAGAGTGTTAACACAATAACACTCTAAAGAAATCATTCAACAAAGTATTAACCAAAACAACTAACAAAGCTTTTTGGGTTGAGAATAGAAGCCTCACGACGCAGCCTCCACACACACTTTGCGCTGTGCAATGGTGCTGCTTAAATCCTCACGACTTCCCCTCCTCCTGCAATCACATCAAATCACCAATCATTGGAATCAGGTGGCAGCCATTACCTCCTGCTTATGTGAAGTAAAAAGGATAGAGAGAGAAACAGGGAGAAAACAAACAAACAAAAAAAAAAACAATATGTCCTTGGACGTAACAGGCTCAAAAATGAACAATAACCAAGTAGCAAACTTTATATGCTCCAACCACATTGAGCTGTGTTCTTGACACAGGAGGTGTGGGGGTTCGAACTGGTTTGTGAGTGGTGTTCAAACCCTAAGTATAAGCAATAGTAACAGTGATGCTTAGCAAAAAAATTGCTTGTTGAAATGTGGAAAATGCAGCTGATGGGGTCTTACCTGAAGACACTGGTTGACCAGAGCCCACCATCAACAGATCTGCAAGCCCTGTGCTGGATGACTGACTCACTGATGTCTGAAAAGAGAATGAAGAATGTCACATTTCACTTCTACCACATGAAGGCAGCACAGGCTTCCTTTTGCAACCCTAATCACTTCATAGAGAGGCCTGCAGAGGTGCACTCAGGTGTTTTTGTTTAGAATGTGCAGGATCTTTTCTTAATTGACTTTAAGTGACCTTGCCTTAACACATTTTGCAGGTTCTATGTAAAAATGTACGTGAACTGCTTCATTTATATCTTATTTATTATTATTATTATACAATAAATTAATTTAAAATGATGGGAAATGATTCATGCTTAAAATTACTGAAATTAAATGAATGCTTTCACAATATTTAAAATTATTTTTCTTCTCCTTCTATCATCGTTATCATCACAGTTATTATTATTTGTTACACAGCATATTAAATGATTAAAATGATGGCCAATGATACGTGCTTAAAATGATTAAAATTAAATTAATTCCCATTTCACAATAGTTAAACATTTTATATATTTATGTATTTATTTATGTTAAATACGTTGAAGCTACAATTAGATAGTGGAACTGACATTACTGCAGTTATTGGTCAATTACAATCGCCAAATGGGCAAATATTAACCTGGCTATTTCAGCACCGCAGCCATCCAATAATGCACCATTTACAGCAGGATGAATTTGGATGAAGGCAGTATTTTACCTGGTTGTTGTCAGCATCTGGACTGCTTTTGCTGCCAGTGTAATGAGCGGCTGCGCCCAGGTCGACCGTTTTGGACGGGACTCCGCCGCGTTTGCGTGTAGAGGTGGTGGTGGATGTGATTGCATCTGTGGTCTGTGTGATCTGGACGTTCTTGGTTGTTACGGTCTCCTCGTCATCCTTAAACTCCGACTTTGCAGGACGACCATTCTGTGAAACTCGGTCCTCCTCATTGTCACTGCAGGAAGAGGCAACATTAAGACAAAAAATAATACAGTAGCTACCGCTACTTTAGTTTCATAGCGACTGAAAACTCAGTCATGTACCTGATACGATCTGGCGAGTCATCCCTCTCCTTCTTGCGGAATTTGTTGATGGTGTCATCAATGGTGCTTCCAATTTTGTCACTTATCTCCCCAAGTTTTTCACTGAATGGGAAGCTGCTCTTGTTTTTGTCCCAGTCCTCATCCCATTTGCTTTTAGATTCGGGGTCAAACTGTTCTCCCGCTGAAAATGTGGATACAGAATTAGTTAGGTGCTTAATTTGTTTCAGATATTTAAAGCTTCAGGTTGAAATTCATGAAAGGCCTGTTCACACTGGGGAAGATAACTATAAAGTTTTATTAATTGTTCTAATTCTATGAGAAGTATAATAACAATGGCACTTTCAAAACGATTTTTCCAGCTGATGAATGATAAAAACATTGACAGTCGATTAAAATCCATTCTGCTTCAAAAAGCTTGAGCACTTAAAGCAGTAGACGACATAACTGCAGCATGCTTCTATTATTGTGTGTAGGTGTGGGAGCTAATGTAGTTATCTTTATAGTTATCATTCTTGGTGTGAATGGGTCATTGTAAGTTAGATATTTATTGCCTAAAGACAAAGCATTAACTGCAGCACTTGAAGATATTTAGGATATTTAAGTATATTTAACTTTTTTTTAATTACCTCAAATGTGATAAAACTGAATTTAAGAATTTTTTTGCCCGCCTGATGAACTTGCACACAAATGCACTTCAAACTTTGAAAAGCATGGAAAATACACCTGACTAAAAACTCAACAAACTTAAAGTATAACTTAAAATCCCTTTTTTTTCTCCATCAAAACAAATCCATCATTGGCATGCCATCATTAATTGGCAATTTGAAAGTGTAGTACAGCTAATAAAGGGAGAAATCTGAGCAGCAAATCAAAGCAGAAACCAAGCACAATCTTTTTGACTTTGCACACAAGTCACATCCCTAATGGCATGACAAGGGACGTGGCATCTTGACTTGATTAGACAGCTCTAAGAGAAAACATGTAATACAAAAAGCAGAGATCTGATTATTACTTCTAACCTGATCATAAAGATCAACAAATGATGCAGTGAGCAAAGTTGAAAAAGTGATAGCCCTGAAATCAAAACAGCTCTAATCAAAAGATCAGTCGTGGGAAGAAGGGAATCCAGGGGGAATTTTCCTCACTATGCGAAAAAACTTCAGAGGGCCTAAAACAAATCCCTGTGGGATGTCTACAGTATACAGACAAAGCAGCTCACTTCTGGGGTCAATCACAGTTTCAAGAGATGAAAATAATGCCTCAAAATGACCCGTGACCAAAGGGAATTTCTTGGTTTATTTGATTACAAATTAACCCACTGGAACAATCCCCACAACATCACAATACAATTAGGAAATAATAATAAAAAAGCACCTGACAGAAAGGACTATTATATGAACTCCTCCTGAGAGCATCACCAATCTCTCTCTTTCTCTTTTCATTGGTTAACATCCAATTTCCACATAACATGCTTTACCGTCTCAGAATTGTTTGCTTGGGAAATATTAGTATACTGATATTAATTTAGAGCAGATTATTTTGGCATTCATTTGCACCAAGTATACTGGTGTAAGAAGTTGTCAGACTGTAAAATCATAAATGATGCAGGCACAACCAGTTTGGCAGAAATATCTTTTTGCCTATATTCCAGGAATGCCGCGAATTACATTTATCACGTTTTTTTTTTAGGTTTGCACGAATTTGGGGCAAAAAAATCTGTTTGTCCAACCAACAGCAGAGAGCAAAATGTCTGTGAAACCGGTTTGGAAAATGTCTGATAAACAGTCGCTGTTCCATTTAGTGGCACTAGTGGTTACAGAAATTTTAGAAATACTAAAATTTGCTACATTTGATCACTTACAGTTACTCTGTTTGAAGCCTCCCATAACGGACTGCAGCTTTAACCATGGTTTTACTATGGTAAAAGTTTAGTAACCGTTTTTTACCATTATTATTTTTTTTGCAGATTACCATTTGTATAACCACAATTTTACTACAAATACCATGGTTAAACTATGGTTAGTTTAGCAAAACTCGGGTTAATTTGTGGTTACTATGGTTTACTACAATTTTTTGGTTTTATTTGTTGTAAAACCATGATTAAACTTTTTTCCCTGTGACATTCCATTTTATTACACAACTTAATTTCTGAAATTATGTATTTTGTTTTATTTGTATATATGGATTACTTGGGCTGTTATAAACATCTGGTGAAAATTTCATGTCAACAGCATCTTTAGAAATACATTTACTGAGAAAAATGGTGACGCGTTCAATACTTATTTTACCCGCTGTATATAGGCACGGCCAATGAATTGGCCAATATCTGGACTTTGACTAAACATTGTGTAAATGAAGCGTACACTTCATTTCAGCAATTGTCTCATTTGAAGGTGAAAATATGATGCAAGATGAGCAGTGCACTGTACCTTGTAAACTCTTCTCCAATTCTTCTTGTTTTCTTTCAGCATTCTAGTCCAAAGCATGTTCATAACTTCAGGGAACTGCTCGTACATAAATGTGGATCTGCAGTAAGGTAGATTAGTCACATTATGTACAATGACTTTATACTAAGCGGATACAGTTTTTAAACCTTGTATTATGTTAATTGATAAGGTATGACGCATTAGGAATGTATTAACAATCAGAACACAAAAACGACTTCCAATAGGAATATAAGGTTTTGTAACCAGTTGTATAATATGGCATGTTTTTCAACCTGTCAAAAAACAGGAATTAATACCACTGACAAACTAATCAGCTTTAAAGATATTTGTATATTTTTCCAAAATTTGAAGTCTTTTTTTAATGATATTATTGATTATTTTTGTGTTTCTTATGAAAAATGTGTTGGTAGTACTAACACAGGGTTTCTCTATCAGGGTTTAGCAGATTAAAATACTGCCTAACCCTGATTGTTTACAGTAATTTAACAAGACACTAAATTCTTGTAAAAAAAAATAAAAAACGACATGAGGATGTAATGACTAAACTTTCAGATGATCTCAAGTCTAAGGCATTATGCAAAGCAACTGAAATCATCAGCTATCAATGATGAGATAATTCTGAAGTAATTGCCCTACACAAATGTTCTGCGGTAGTTGAGAGTAGAGTCAGTGAATGCCTGAAGACTGAAAGGGAGCACGTAGTCCTCTTACCACCCAGCAGGCTGAGCACTTACTTGGCAATCTCACCCATGAGCTGACCCGATGGGCCCCAGGAGTCATCATTGGTGGCTTCTCGAACCTTGGACTCTATCTCGGAGTAGTTCATCACAACATTGGTGCTGGGAAACAGTGAAAAACAAAGAACCACAAATAAACACCAGGCAACCACACACAGACACACCAAGTCCATTTATTGTTACACATGGAGGTGTTGAAATAAAAAAAAAAACTCTCTCGAGCCGGTCAGCTTTGGTCGACTGGTGTGTATTTTGGACTGATAGAAGAAAACATGCTGCCAAAGGTTTAAATGTGTTCAGATGAAAAACTGTACAGACAGCTCTGTTTAGTGTTAAATTTACAGAGCATTCAAGTGACTAAACCAGTTTGTTGAGATTGTCATAGATTAACATTCTATGGAAAAAATTTGTAGTATTACAAAGTCAGTATTGGCTGACTGGGATTTAAGAATCGATATTGGTTCATAAAAATGAGAATCTATTAAAATCGAGAAATCAATTTGTTTTACCCAGCCCTAGCATATTTTGTTGTTTTTAGTGGCCTCCGCTGTCACTGCGGGGTGTTGAACATGAAAAGTGACGTAATAAATAAATGTATAAGCCTATATGCTCGTCCTGTAGGTTCATTATTAAAAATGAAAATGTGAACAAAAAAAAACAAGCAATTAAATGTGCTATTATAATTAAAATATCAAAATTAAAATGACGGGTAATAATAGATTATGACAGAATTTTTACGACCCTGACAATGTTAAAGTCTAACGCAACTTCTGGGTTAAACCACACTTTTGTTTTGGTGGTTTGTCGTGAAGATAAGTGTATATTTGATGGTAGTTTTGAGAAAAGCTTGTGAAGTGAGCCTCAGAACAGCTCTGGAAATATGGACTGTCCTCATATCTTTGAAATGACACGTGTGCTTCATTTTGTGTTGTAGACAAAACTGTGCCACTCAAAGACCTTAATCAGGTTTGATGCCATATTGAATTGAATGCTTATGAAAACTAGGTTGTGAGGGATAAGACTGTGTCCTACGACGCCACAACGCGTGATAAAAGGTATCTTTTCCATGAGATTTTCCATCAGAGTTTTTGTCCTAACCAGCCACAACGGCGACACGCAATATTTCTATTTTTAAACGGCTTCTATGTCTGCGACGTTGCGGCTGGCGCAACATACAAACTGACAGTGATAATCTCAGGTACTGATTATGTGCTTTATTCAATGTTAAGTGTCTAATGTGAGTTTGAATATCATATTGCATGACATTTATAGCTTTACTGAAAGCAACAACAGATAGTTTACCTCAGATCTTGAAAATTCATTAAAGCAAACATGTACGTTAAAACTGCGAACCAACAAGTGTATTCCATAAAGATGGTATCAGTCAATCAGTATGTAAATATAATAATGTTTAATATTTATGAATTAATTTTAAACATCCATTTTATTGCAAGTGCAGTGTGCTTCCAGAGAGAGCCCGCCCACACACGCTTTTGATTGGCTGTGATATTTGATTGATTCTGTCATGTCACATTGTCGTGTCATGTCTGGTGTGGACAGCCAAATTGGTTGTCATTGGAATCTTGTCACGTCGCGTGCAGTTAGGACACGGTGTTACAGTCTTTACAATGGCACGCATTGTTTAAAGATCCTAGATCAAGTAATTTTCCCCACTCACAACTTTCAAAAGTTTTATGAAGTTTTTGTCTACTGAAAGATTTTGTCAGAAAGACGTTTCATCAGCTAAGCAATATTTGTTTATTAATGTTATTAAACAGGTTACATCACATGTTTGATAGGACTGAGAATATACTCCATGGTTTTATTTCATTTCCATCAAAAATTAAATATTGCGCAAACTGGAGTAAGGTCTTTTCACACAGAACATGTAGACTTACTAGCAACATGCACAGACTGCCTATTATCACATTTATTTCTACTGTTAGATTGATCCATAGAGTAAATGTGTCCAGCGCTCATCACCGTTAACAACAAATTTTATCGTAATCTTGATATGATATTGTTTATCGCCCAGCCCGGCAGCTCAAAAAAAGACATAAAAGTGGTCCATGCAACTGACATGCTATATTCCAAATCTTCTGAAGCAAAAATCTCTCTCTTCAAATAGCTCTCAAATGTCAATCTTCTCAAGATGTGTCCGACCTGGTTCGACAGCTCTAACATCAAACACCTTGAATTCGAATGATGACTCACAAAATGGCTTCAGAAGAACGCAGTCGCACATACATCTTTTTTTTTGTCCATCTTGGAGTTTGACAGTATAAATTTCACTTTTACTATAAGGAAAAACAGCAGTGTAGACATCGTTTAAATATCCGCTTCTGTGCTCCACAATAAAAAGAAACCATGAGTTGGGAATCTCATGAGGACTTTTTTGGGTGACAGATCAAAACGATTTTCAGAGCATCTTGTGAGATCAACATTCAACACAACTTTAGACAAACCTAATAATATATGTACAGCCTATAATCAGCACTATACAAGTATTAGCTCCACTATTAAGGCCCAGACACACCAAATCAAAGAACTACCATGTCGCCTACATCTGAGCCAAAAAGTTGCACTTGAAAATGCAAAGACCCTCAGTCATCAGCTAACTAGCACATACAGTGGGTACGGAAAGTATTCAGACCCCCTTACATTTTTCACTCTTTGTTATATTGCAGCCATTTGCTAAAATCATTTAGGTTATTTTTTTTCCCCATTAATGTACACACAGCACCCCATATTGACAGAAAAACACAGAATTGTTGACATCCTCTGCATGAGAGGAAATAACTCTCCATACCAGCAGGTGGCAGTAGCCTTCATCATTTAAAAAGGGAAACCGGTAGAGCTAGGATTGCGGATTTACAAAACGTAACCAAAGTAGTGCTTGCTTACCATTTTTGTACCAATTTCGCTCACCACAGATGGATTCATAATACAGCTCCTTCAAGTAAGTCTAAAAAAAATTGCAAATGGCAAAAGCATTGCCATTCTTTGTTTGCTTGCTTTCGTTACTTTCAAGCTGAACAGCCAATCAGATTGATCTCTGCCACCCATTCAACAAGCTCAACTGGTCAAAAAGCTGCACATGAGGGTCTGACTAATGCCAACGGAGTGGAACACCATGCAAAAACCAGGCTAACAGATGCTCAACGATGGCCTGACAATGGCTTATTTTGGCATGGCCTTTAGAGCAGACTAAACAGTGCATTTAATTAATAGACAATCAACACGGGCAAAGCCTGTAAATCATAGATCAATGCCACATCATCTGAAAATGACCAGAACCACACGCACAACAACACTGCAGAGGTGGTGCTCGGCGGATGTTTATCATGCTAACTCTCAAAACAGCTGCAAACACTTTCCATAATCATTACTAATGTGAAAATGTGGCTTTTTCCGCCTCACTCTCACAATCCCAAAGGGCAAAGAGGGTGGGAGGGTGAAAGTGAACTTCTGGAAGTTATTACAGAGAGTCTAGTGGTGCTGGATGATGTGCAGTAAAGACAGGAATGCTGGCAGGTGGACAACATGCATCTCGCTGGAACGTGGAAGCAGGTGGTCTGGAAAGACAATGCAGCTGATTTACAATCATTTGATCTCTGAAGAAAAAGAGTTAGAGAGCTAAAATCACGTCTGAGCCAAATCAATGACTTTAGAAAAATCTCGCAACAAAGACATTGATCCCAC